AGGAATACTCAACGAAAGAATACAACAAAGTGGCAAAAAGAATAAAAATAAGACAAAATTAAATATCATTCTGAGTAGGGTTTACTGTAACATAGAAATGCTGGGATGGTCAAATGATAATGATGCACCAGTATTACATGTACACACATAAGACACCCCTAAATATGTACAAAATACTGGTAAGATATGAAATAAGTACTTGGAAAAATATACTCTAACAAAGCGTATTGTTTTTAAAAAATAAAATAAAAAGACGTTGAATACTCTGTGAAATGAAAAATTGCAAGAAAAATCTAAATGCGGAAAGTTTTAGTGGCGTTGCGGTTGTTCGCTAAGAGCGTAGAGCAAGATAAATTATCATTGAAAAAGAGCAAAGCAAATAGGTAAAGAAACAACAAATGTGTACTTTAAAGCGAAAAATTTCACGACTAAACGGAAAGAAAAAATGTACACATCGCAGGTTTAATAATAAACATAATTAATTCAATACTTGAATTTTGTGGGAAAACGTAATTCAGAGCCAGCATAAAGAGAATACGTTATCCATTTTGCCAGAAAATTCTATCAGAAATTTTGGCGTTTTACGGAAAACTACAAGACCAGGGCTAACTCCTGTAAGAACAATCACGCCGACCTACTTACCGAAGGCCTGAACGCACTCAAATTGTGGAGGAACATTCAACACCCTTTTGAATGGTAACAACGCTGAGACTAGCGGAGAAAATGATCCCGAGCCCCCAGTCAAAGACGATGAAATCGATGTTCCAATGCCTGACTATGACGAGGTATGAATAGCAATTTCACAGCTGAAAAACACGAAAAAAACTGCAGGAGCTGACGGCATATCAGTTGAGCTTATGAAAAACATGGACGCATCGACTGGAATCCAGCATCATCATCAAATCTGGAAGCATTGGGGGCATTTAACTAGATAATGCATACTGTTAGGCGTGCCTGCTATTTTCTTAGCGATAGCAAAAGTTGGATGTAGGTATTCACCATTCGCCAAACATTGGAACAGACCCGCAAGAATAGCAAATCATCTATTTATCGATCTCAAGGCCGCTTTCTACTACAGCATGAAAAGAAGCTTCCTATATGCCACGATATCTGAATCTTATATCCCTGCGACACTAATACGACCGTCTAAAATCACGTTCCAAAACACCAACAGCGCCGCCAGAGTTGCGAAAGACTTCTCTCCAAGCTGGTTGATATCAAACGCGGTTTTAGATGGTGCGACTACCTTTTGTGTGATTTATTTAGTCTGCTGCTTGAGAAGATAAGTAATAGGAGCTGCAGAACTTATTCGGTCAGTTAAAATCTGTACATCGTCGGTAACAGCAAACGCCTTCTCGAAGTTAGATACAGACGCAAATGAGGACAAAACAACGCATCTGTTGTTACCAGGCAAAAAGTCAGCGCATATAGCGTCTTGGCTCTCACGCTCCTGTTGGCAGCTATAGTTTCGAAAGAGTTGACAACCTCGCTTACTAAGGAACCAACATTAAAACAGATAATAATATCACATTTAAAATCCAATAGAGAATCACTATCGGAAACCAGTGTTACTTTGAATTGAAGGAGTATTTTTACTATACAAATCTTATCAAAATTATGTGTGGTTTTCTTCTAAGTAACAAAATGAAGCACTGAATGAGAAAATGGGCAAATTTATACATCAGATACAATACGTCCACAAAAACATTTTTTTTTCAGCAAAAGACAAGAATGTGATTCATATTTCTAGGCCATACTTTTGTATTAGATCGATGGGTTTGGATATGACCTCGACATTTCAGATTGGCTTTTGTTTGCAGTTGCTAAAATGCTTTCAAACTTAAACTCAGTAAATAATAAATAAGGAATATAAGAATAGGGATGCAGCGAAGTTTGCAAAGAACACATATGCTCTTTTCGAAGCTGAGCAGAGAGTATCATTGTCAACCGTTTCGAACTGCTTCAAAGGATCTTCCGATGAGACTAATTATTTGAGGCCATTTATTAAGTCTCGGTACTCAGCTCCGTTTACTTATATTTTTAAGTTATTTTTACAAATGAATAAAAAAGTAAGAAAAAACTAGCGATGTATCGAGTTTTTTCGTCAGATCTTTGATAAATATTTTTCGATCGTTAGGAAATTATTACTAAATTAAAGGTCAGAGGTACAGCTTTTCAATTATTCGAACATTGACTCTCCCTTTAACTAGCCGTTGAACATTTCTGCTTGAAATCCCTTTCGAAGGATTTACTAGTTTTATTTTAAGACTGTATAAAGAACATATCCACATAGATAGATAAATAAATGTACGGGTTGGTCAGATCAAGACACTCTGCGACCTGAAAGGTCCGAAACGCAGTATGTCCAAGATACCCCCGGCTTCCCTAGATAATCCTTAAAGCTCCACGTTAATCGAATTATTTGTTTCGAAGGGCTCGACGAATGGAGCTTTGAAGTTCATTAAAAAAAATCTATTCTGAAGTAACCTCTTCCTCAAGGCATTCGCGGTATTCCGACTCTACAATAATACCTAATACCTGCATTATAGCGCTGACCCTCGAAGACTTAGCGTAAACTTAGTTCGACGGATAGAGAAAGATATTAAATTTCCCGTTGATAGAGGGAGAAAGAAGCAACGACAACCGTCACCGTCATGCGGTGGTGAGTTTACGTTAACACTCAAATCCCATAAGATAGATCGTGTCAGCTGTCACCTTCTCCGATTTTAACGTCGTTAATCCCTCTCGCGCCAGCTCGTCAGCGACCTCGTTGCCTTCGATCCCACAGTGGCCCGGCACCCAGCACATAGTTACAGCAGTGTTTAGCAAGTTGAGATTTCGTTGAAATGTTTGAGAGGACCGGCATAGCCGCTTGACTATCTTAAAAGATAATTAGAAAGGCGCCCTTGAATCCTTTTCAAGGTTTAATTCGGTGGACGTATGAATTACTGCCACTGGAAATTGCAAGTTTGGTGTTGGGCCCATAGACACCTACCGCTGCTCTTTTATCCACACGTGAAACCGTCCGTTTACCTACCTACATACAGATATACGCGGCTGGGGTCAAAGACTGGTAGTCCCTTAGCCTAACCTTCGCGATCTAGGAGACGATTATTTTATCGATAAGTTCCGAAAATATCGACAGCGAATAACGGTAACCATATCGATAAAAATATCAATAACAAAATCGATAAAAACCGGAAAAATATATCGATAACAAAATCGGTAAAAATATAGATTACAAAATCGCTAAAAACATCCATAACACAATCGATGAAAATATCCATTTCCGTTGAATTTGTCAATTTACTCCCAACCAACCAACCGGCGCTAAAGAAGTTTCACTTCAAAATTGTTTTCTAATTTAGATGTTGCTCGGACCAGATATCCACAACAGCCGCCATCCTTATCTGACAAATAACTGTATTCGAATAAAGTTCTTAAGCAAGCATACATATATATTTATGTATATTTCCACGTAAAGTAAAAGGGTCAAATTTTTCGAGACCTTTCTTCGCATACATATATAGATACGTATTTATGTGTTTCAAAATTCTTTCTAGCCTTCCCTCGAATTTTTGTAGTATTTGTTTTTTTGCATCATTTAATAGTTTTAATGAACTAAATCCAGCTTTTTTCATTTCCTCGTACATTTTCTGCCACCACCTTCGCCTAGCAGCGCAACGCTTAACCATGGCCAGGCAAGTTGAGTACCAAATAAAAAATTTAAAAGCAAACAAAACAAAAAACAAAGCAAGAAGAGAAATTTTAAAAGCAATTAACAACATTTACTGTCAGCATACACACACATAAGCCAACATATACACACAAGCAGTGGTGCATATATGGAAAACGAAATAAATCTATGGCCAGAAGCAGCGCAAATAGAAAAGAATTAGTAACGAGAAGACCAACAGAAGAAGGCCAACAAAAAGAATGGACACGAGGCAGGCAGCTAGAATTTTGTTGATATTTAGATGAAGTCGACTGGCGGACAGTTGGATTTGTGATGAGTCGGCATGTGCAATGAAGTAACTGTGTTTTGGCCAAATTAAGGCAGAGTGCAGTGAAAATATTGAATTTGTAATTTGTTTGGAAATACAAACACTGAAAAAATAATAGTTACATAATAAAATATTTCGCCGCAAGAAAATCGAAAATAAAAACCAGATTATTAAAAATAATTTACAATTTCCAACAGATAAATAAATGCTGTGAAAAATGCATACGCGCTGCACGCAGAAATTTTTCATTTTGTTCAATTTATTGGCAACACTGTCACAACACTTGCCACCACGATGGCCGCACCAGCAAATTGCGACAATTATTGTGTCAGCAACAGCAGTGGCAACAAAAACGACGACAACAACAACAACAGTAACTGCGGCCACTACAAGTGAGATTGCTGGAGGAACTGCAGCAGCTGCAACAACGGCGGCTGAGCCGGCGACAGCTGCAAGGACAACATCCGCATCCGCTTTTGTTGATGAAGTGTTGCCGCATAATGACAGTGTTGCCACTACAACATTGCATGCAAAATCCATTGACAGCGATGGCAGCAACAAAGCGATGCACAAAAACAGTAACAGTATCAACAACAACAACAGCAACGCCGATGACTTCGAGCAGCTGCTGGCGCACAAATTACAGGAAGAGGCGATGGAGGCAATGGGGCCATCCGCTACGCCGGACCATTTACTCTCTCGCAAACGTCGTTATTTGATCTTTCCGGAGGGCAGCTCTTTTCAATTGGGTAAGTCTGTTGCAAGTTGACAGCGTGCGCTTAAGAGTCACTGGACATTGCAGTGCACTACATAACTGCATCATAGCATTGCTGTGTGTGTGTGTAGGTCAACATTGTTACTGGGAATGGCGATGTACAAAGTGAATATAAATGAAATGCAGGCAACAAATAAACTGCAAATTTCAAGATGAGATTTCAATTTAAAGTAATCTTATTCCTTCGAGGTTACTGCCAATGACAATGTATGTAAGCGGTTATCATAAAATAGTAATGAGTCTTAATCCGCGGGTATTCGACGGCTGTTGCCTGGTATCCATCTGTGCATAGTATTTTTCACTTGTTTGCGTTTAGAATTAACGATTTGTTAGATATAAGTTAGCAGATATTGCAGGCAAAGCTTTTTACTGTGGGTGGCCACTTAACCCGGTACATATGTACGTATGTATGTACATACGTCCACGTACAAAACCAGCAAGTGTCAAAGTTTTTAAGTTTACTTTGAGAGCATTTTTATGTTACACGAATTTCGGCCCTATTTGCGCCTTAATTACAGCCTCTCTCAACTCTTTTTAACAACCTTCTTATATACTAAATAATTCATTGATATATTAAGGTTAAGTATATATAAGCATTTTCACACAGAGGCATTGTAGCCCATTGTTAGTGCCTCTTCAACTAAATCGAGCTTCCTTATTTAAACAGTTGATATCCCAAAAAAAAATGTTTTAGGTTTAGCAGGTCTACTTCTGCTACTTCGGCCAGGCAGTTCAAGGTTAGTTAGTTATAGCACCATCATTGATTTTTTCTGGTTTAGTGATTCGATTCGGTTTCGTCAAACCGTTTGGATTTTTCGATTAATCTATTTAGGCTAGTAGTGGTGCATTTGGAGATCTACCTAAAATTTTGGATTGAAAAACTCCAATGTACCAAAGTCCCGTTATCGCGGCTGTTAATTTGATTATATCTAGATCTCTTAAGAAGTTGTTTGTATTTGTATTGTCATAGTGCGGCATTGTCTGTTCCTCGCAGTTTTGAAGGTTTGAAGGTTGTTCCAACGTGCATCAGCCACACGTACGAATTGCAAATGCAGTGCCCTTATTATGAATCCGAGTAGACAGTTAAGTCAGCCTTCTCATTTCCGCCTATGTTCAACAGACCGTCGGGCTGAACGCACATTAGCAATCTCTGACTGCTTTGGACTTTGTTACCGGAAGGCAAGTACTAGAAGTGCCGCCTGGCTACCTGAGAATATGCATGCCATTCACACTCCTCTCTAATTTTTTAGAGGCCCTTTCGACTCCCTGTACTTCAGCTTGGATGATGTGAGCAAAGCTCGATAGTCGCAGCGAGAGAGAGAAATTCAACGTTTCGGAGAACATCCCCGGACACACACTGCAGTCCATTTTTGACCCGTAAGTATAGATTTCAGTGGAATTATCCTCGACTATCCTGCCCCTACTCCAATCCCGTCTGGAAATAAACTGCACCTGAAAGGATTTCTTGAAGTCCGTCGTAGGAGGTTTATAATCCAGGGACCGGACATAACAGTTATTGATGAAAATTGCTATTGAAAAATTCACTGTGAAGGAAATGTTCTACAACTAAGTGATACATAGCAATTGGTTTCTTTTTTCACCGAGAATCAAATTGTTATTTTTATGCATAGTTAAGTAAAAGTAACAATTTTCTTAATTTTTATTTTAGAAATCCAAAATAACAGTTATTTTCGATTTTTAAATAAATTATCTACAAATAACAGTTACTTCTGAATTTTATTTTATATGTGTTAGGTAACAGTCATTTAAGACGTTCACTTATAAAAGTCATCAATAAAAAACAGTCAGTGAATTTTACTTTTTAGTCATATACAGTCTTTATCATATTTCGCAGATAAGGTGTTGGAGAACAAAACGACTACACCTTACACAAGACTTTTATAAGAATGATTTAAAAAATGAAAGTCAGTGACGGATTTATATTGATGACTTTTAAAAGTAAAATCACAGACTGATTTTTTAATTTTTTTTTATGATTTTTATATATACAAGCCTTCAATAACTGTTATCTAAGACATATAATATAAAAATCAAAAATAACTTTTATTTGTAGATATTTTAGATAAAAATCGAAAATAAATATTACTTTGGTTTTATAAAATAAAATTTTTAAATAACTGTTATTTAAGGAGTAATTAAATAAATGTAAAAATATAATTGTTAAAGAGCGATTTTTATATTAAAAGTTGTATTTGTAACGATCCCTGATATAATCTGATTGTTTCCCTTATTCGATAAGTTGTCAAGCCTGTAGCACTTGCGTAAGCTTATTTTTGTATACTGCCTAATTCCCTGAAGTTGTTTTGTTTATCTAGTTCTGGTCACCAAACTAACGCCTGTGAGTTAGCATTGGTCGTATGATAGCAATTAAAAGTATATATGTAAGTGCATTTTTTTTGAACTAACATACATAACAAGAGCAGAAAACATCCTTTCATTGCACTGTTTTCTTTAAACGATTCAAGGCTAGATAAGATGAATAGATTACAGATAGTGTGTATTTTTTTTTGCCCTCCACTCACCACAACACTGTTTTAAGTCTACACGGTCGGTGAGTAAATGGTAGCCAGTTGTGGAGTGTTTGAGAAGTCAGGCTTTCGTCTTTTTGTTGTTGCAACACCACACAAATTCCCTACATAGTTTTTGGGGAATGATGCTGCAGTGACAGTCCTTGGCGTGATATAAATCTGGGTAATTCCGGTTACGTAGACCCAACTGTCGTGGCAACGCAAGTTTCCGTCTCCCTCACTTTAACCGATAGGAGCCAGCTGTACCGGCAACTAATTCCGTGAAGAAAAGCTCAGCTTGAAGAGAAAAGCAGCGAACGTCGGTGCTGTGCCGCCACATAAGTGGTGTTCAAAACAGCAACCGCAGGCGGAACTCTTCAAAGCTCTCTGTAGATTTTATATGAATACGCACAGAGTAAAAGCTCTCTCTGAGCATCAGAAGCAGTGTTGCCGCGAAAAACATTTTTAGTGGTAGCTAAATTGCAGCTAAAAAAGGGCTAAAAAAGAGCTAAAAATCGTCGTTGTGGCTAAAAATGGTAGCTAAATTTTTTTACCTACATCTTATATATAAAAATAAGTGCACGTTTTTGGTGTGACCTCATAACTTGAAAACAGCTTGACCGATTTCAACCAAATTTATGTGGCATATTCGATTTATCATGCAGATAGTTTATGCGAAGTTTTCCCGAATTCGGAAGAGGGGGCGTGGCACCACCCATACTAACTAAAATATAAAAATAAGTGAACGTTTTTGGGGTGACAATATAACTTAAGAACGGCTTCACCGAATTGAACCAAATTTTTACGGCATATTCAGGCTATCATGCAGATGGTTTATGTGAAGTTTGCCCGATTTCGTAAAAGTGGGTGTGGCACCTTCCTTACTAACTAAAATTTTTTTGTTGTATATCTCTTGAAATATTTGTGGTAGAGTACTGGAAGTTGGTATAGAGGTATAACAAATAATTCCATACTCATGGATAAAAATGGGCAGTATTCGAAAAGAGGGCGTGGCACCTCACATCTTATATATAAAGAACAAGTGCAAGATTTCAACCAAATTTATACGGCATAGTCGGGCTATTATGCAGATGGTTTGTGTTAAGTTTTCCCGAATCCGGAAAAGGGGGCGTGGCACCACCCATACTAACAAACATTTTCATCTGGTATATCTCTTGAAATATTCGTGGTAGATTACTGGAATTGGTAGCTATACGTGGCCTGTTCAAGAGTTGGCATTCCAAATTGTTTATTTATTCATACCCAAGATGGAAAAACAAAAAATGTTGTATATCCAAATCTGTTGGATTAAGATTTAAAATAAAGAATCAAAAATTTTGAAATAAAACAAATGATAAATTTTCATATAGAAAAATTCCAGGACTTTTCATTCGTTTTTCAATATTTGGTGTAGAGAAGCACACCGGGGTACTGCTACACCTTTTCAACCCAGTAATGAGAAAACATAAGTTATAATGAGAAAACAAAAATTTATATTGAGAAAACCTAAATTGTATTAAGAAAATAGAAATTTGTATTGAGAAAACATAAATTATACTGAGAATACGTAAATTAATAATGAGAAAACGTAAAAAGTAATGAGAAAAAATAAATTGATAATGAGAAAATGTAAATTTATAATGAGAAAACGTAAACTTATAATGAGAAATCGTTAATTCATAATGAGATCGGGTTTACTGCTTTAAGGTTTTGAAGGCGTCCGGAAAAGATTTCACTCGTAGTTTTATCATTGTGCCCAACGAAACATAACTACATATAGGCACTTGCACGTAAAAATGCAGTTTCAAGACGATTGTGCGATTTGTCTTACAAATATGAAGTATAGCAGTGTTTCGCGTACATTAAACTGCAAATATTTATTATATTCAAAGTGTATTGCACCAAATCTATCGCGGAACGAGGCGTGCCCGATATGCAGAAGTAATATTGTTGGTGAGTTTTGATATCCATAAGTATTCCGAAGTAACTTCTCATTTCTGCATAGTGACGTAATTATCTTAATTTTTCCAGGAACACAAATTTGCGAGAGGAAAATGTATACAAAAAATACCGAACAAGACAGGGAAAGGGTGGTGAATGCTATTTACTACACGAGGAGAAGATTGGGTCAAGCTTGCTCTTAACCTTGGCGTTAACTACAAAACTACACACCGATGGATTTGCAGTGGAAGCAGCACAATGAAACAAAAAACTAATGAAAGGCCAAAAAAATTGTGAATGATCATTTATCAAAAATTGTTGAATGGCTGGAGGAGGATTGCGGACTAACCCTACTTCAGTTAAAACAAAAACTGTTCAGGGTTTTTGGTGTCGAAGTTAGGACAACAACTGTTGGGAACCATCTTGAAGGTATGCGCTATAGTGTGAAAAAAGTTTACACACAGCCAGGAAAATAGAGAGACTTGCGTTGCGAAACATGAGAGTGGGTGAACCACAAATAATGAAACAAACCCAGTTCTCATTACTTATTTATGTATTCTCATTATAAATTTACGTTTTCTCATTACAAATTTACCCTTTCTCATTATAAATCTACGTTATCCCAATATCAGTTTCCTTTTCTCATTGTAATTCCCGTTTTCTCATTATACACTTACGTTTTCTCATTATAATGTACGTTTTCTCAATAGAAAGTTATTTATTCTCAATACAATTTACGTTTTCTCATTATAAACTTACGTTTTCTCATTACTGGGTTGAAAAGGTGTAGTATAAATATGTAAGTATACACGCAAACATTTTCTATAATTACTGGTATAGAAAGACAATGAACTCTGAAAAGAATTACTATTTTATTCAACAAAAAAACCTTTGTGTAACACATAAAGCATATTAAGGGCCACCAACTTACCTATTTTAAAGTATAGTTAAATCGTTAACGGATAAGATAACGGCCCAGAAACGTAAGGAACATACATAGAAATATGTTTACTTGCCTTAAAGGAAAGGCGTTCGCTTTATGAGCGAAGAGTTAAATTCATGAAAATCATAAAAAAAATTTGAATGTCAATGATGAATAAATTTTGAAAAGGGCTAAAAAAAGGGCTAGGGGCAATTTCAAATTTTTGTGGCCAAAAAAAGAATTTGGTAGCCAAATTTAGCCACCAAAGGGCTAAAACGGCAACACTGATTCAGAAGTGATGACGCGAAAACCACAATAGCAGCGTCGCCTTTTCAATTTTGTTGTGCACCGTGTGATGGCCTTTGGAAAAGGCCATGGCATTTGTTTTTTTTTAATTAACGGGCAGGTGCGAATTGACCCGGCACGAGCTACACCGACTATGAGGACCCAACTTTTAGCTGCGCGCCAGAGCAGAGCCTAGTGAGCATTAAAGGTGAAAGAAACATCGCTATTGTGAGCAAGTGTAGAAAAGTATATTAGAAAATCTAAAGAATGCAGAGATTTGGTACCACTGGTACACTAACAAATAAGGGTTTGTTTTTGTTACTTTTATTTTCTTAATATCGTTTGTTCTGCCATTTAATATATTTGATCGCGTCTTCATTCACACTCAGCAATTTGTCTCGCAATTTTTGTCTCACCCTAATATTTATATTGATGGTTACAGCTTGATGGTTGGTGCAGTTTAACTCCTTAAATTGTTGCTACCCCATTTAATATTCTGCCCGCCATACAATACTTGTGTCTAGTCTTGTGGTCTTCTCCACCAGCAACCCCGCCGTCTCCACTGAGTCAGCTGGTTATTTTTTTTCACTTCCTTTTTGTGCGTATTTTTTCTTTATTTGGTTGGCCCCTTGCATTGTTGTTGTTGCCCTCTGTAAGTGCAATGCATTAGGCTGGTTCGTAATTTGTAACACAAAAAGTGCAGATGACATGTTGAGGTATTATTTTCGGGAATATTGAATTTTCGCTGTGTTGAATTGAGCTGTTGTTGTTAAATTTAGTTGCAGATACAAATTTCTATGCTTCATACAAATTCTAACTATGTATATACATCATATTTAGATTTTTTCCGCTGTTTTACAAAATTAGTACATTTTCTGATAAGTTTTGTTATATAATTTGTTTATATCTATTTTCTTATATATATTTAACGCATCGCGCTTCTGTTGCCTACGCTCCAAATTAAAAATTATTCTGTTTTTGCTCCTTTGAATTAGAATGTTTTTGCTGTTCCTATTGTGGTCTTTTGGTTATCGTTATTGCTTCCGCTGGGGTTGTTTCGGCTATAGTTCTGGCCCTGCTGAACTTGAGGCTTTGAACGACAGGAACGTATGGCACATACTCATTTACGCGGTTGTTGAATAATTATTGTTGGCTTACGTGCAACAAACGCCGGTGGTTTGGGCGCATGGGCGACCTGTACGGCCTGTGGTGTATGCACAATATTGCCCTTCAGGGGAGCGCCGCTTACAGACATGCTATTCCCACCAGCAGTTTCCTAAAATTATAATACGCATTAGTATCAATCAAAGAACACCTGAACATACATATGTATGTATGTATGTATACGTTTTCCAATTCTTTACCGTCAATTCTGTACAATCCTCGGCATCATTTACTGGACGCTCGGCCGTAGGCGTCTTGTGTTGCACAATGCGCATACCACCTGCCTTAACTGTTAAAAAAAATATAGATATTTCATCATCATTGTAATAATATCGTGCCTGACCCCCAAAAAGATGTTAGCGACATTTTTTTCAAACTTTTCTTTTTGATGCAGAAATGCTCTAGGAAAATTTCTGCAAAACCGCTTATCTTAAGGCACTCAAAGTTTACAGGAGAGCAAAAAAACGGTTTCTCTTTCAAGGCATTGCCTTGAGAGGCGGTATTTTCTCTAGCTATTATTTTACAAATCTGTTTTTTTTCACGATTTTTATGCATAAATTTCCATACCTAGAGTTCAAGGTAAACAAATCTCATTTTTTGCCATAACGGCGATTTAGGCGGTTTTGCAACTGGTCGATGGGCGGCTATATGTACAAATGAATATAAATAATTTTAAGCCTCATAAAATCCACATACCTGCTGGTGGGTGTCCAGCCACAAGATCTGGTTGTTCGTCTGCCATATTTCACTTTAAACTACTTGACGTCCTCCTTCTGATTGTTTGTTGGTCCAAGTCGACACGATTTTATGTAAAAAAATAATAATTAGCACTTTTGGTATAACAATTAATTTACACTTATTTACATTTTGTAAATTGCTCACCTTTGCTTTGCACCTTACTTCACTCATGCCTTATTTACATACACATACATACATATATAGGTATTTTTACAACTTGCTTTATCGCTTTTGCTTCTGACCACAGTGTACTAGGGGTATTCGCGAATTCTTGCAAGTTGTTCGGATTGCACGAAATGCAAAAATAGTGGGTGAAATGAAAGGAATGGTAGAAATATGCAGCAATTCCGACAGCAAAACAGGTAGCACAGAGTCGCATTTAACTTGCTGCGCTTTTTTTTAATATATGTATGGGTTTCCAAGTTGCATACTTTGCAGCGATAGGAAATGTTGTTGCCCATGCATTTTGTTTTTGTTGTTAAAAAAGCTTTTTGTTTTTGAAAAATAAGTTACTCGTAATGGTTATACCATTCGTTCAGTAAATCACAAGGGTCATTGCCTCGGTTCTTCCATCGGATTTTTGAATAATTTTACGGGAGTTTTTGCAATCGAATAAACCAGGGTTGCTAGTAGTATATACCAGAATCTAAATATGTTTTTTCTATTGAAAATGGAACTAGAACATTCCTTTAGTTCCCAGAACCCGTATGTCCGTGCCTGCGCCAGAGCCAATTGATCGGGCATCAACAACACCGACACTGAGGGCCGATGGCTTTGCGGACCGTCGCGTTGGTTGCGGCCCACTTTGTAGCTGCGCGCCGGGGCAGAACCTAGTGAGCATTGCAAAGGGAAAAATCCCTATGGTAAGTTGTATTTGGTTATTGTACGGTGTGAAATATTAATACAGACGTGGTGCGGTGCGTATATTCATACATAATTTTGCAAGTTCCAGACGATGCACTTTGAGCATCCCGCACCCAGAGCTCAGTCACTTTTCGGGTTAAAGTTAACACCCTTTGGTTGGACCTCATCTCGGGTGCACTCCAAAACAAGATCTTGTTTTTGGAACTAATAGTTGCGAAATGCCGTTTGTACTATCTTTTATTCTTTTTTTATATATTTAAATATTTAGTATTTGTTCCATAATTTTTAGCTCACCCTATTAGTCATAATTGTACGCTGCTGGCTACTGTTGGTGCCGTTCCCCCTTACAATTTTTGTTGTACCATCTACTAATTTCGGTCGTTCTACTTTATTGCGCATAGTCGTGTTGTCTTCCCACCAGCAACCCCGCCGTCTCCACTGAATCAATCGGTTGCAAATTTATTTGCCATTTCCTTTTTGTGCGTGCATTTGTTTGCCCGTATTAGGCCTTTGTGTTGTTGTTGGGCGCTGCAAGTGCTTTTCATACATTAGGCTGCTAGGCTGTTTGCAAAGCAAAAAGCAACCGTGTGCAATATCTACAAATTGCAACCGTGCATCGCGAAGCCTTTCGCTTATTTCTCGTTTTAATTTGACACCCTCTTTTCTCTCGAAACGCCTAGTATGGACAAGAAAATCTTTCACAGATTGTTTTTTTTGTTTTGTGATCCTGTGTAGTTAACATCGTGCAAGCTTCTCGGTGATTTTTTGACGGCGTTCGTAAAAACTATTGGTCAGCAACATTTTCCGTAGCCGGTTAAGTTTCGTAGGAATACCAAATTATGGTAGAGCAGAAAGCAAGCATCGGCAAAGAGGTGATGCCTATCGATTCTCTTTTCTAGGATTTCATGTTTACTAGAATAATTGTCACCCTTTTCTCATCATTCAGAATACTGCACTGTGTGTTCCGTGATACATATAAATTGCTGGAGTATTGGAGGAGCACAACTCAACTCACCTAAGTTTGCCTAAACTTAGCTCACCTCAACACAGTTTACTTCAACCCACCTAAACTCATCTCAATTCACCTTAACTCACCTCAACTCACCTTAGGTTAAGTTAGGCTGTCGCGGTCGTCTATAAGACACAGTGCAATTATCTGACCACCTATATCTTCAAATTCTCCAAGAAGGCTGTCTACTGCTATGTTCCACAGGAGCGGTGATATTACTCCACCCTGGGGTGTATCCCTGACCGGGAACCTTTGAATTACTGATTCGCCTAATCTTGCGCTTATTTTTCGTCCGATTAGCATTCGTTCAATAAACGAGCTTAGTGAATTGCTTACTCCCAGATTTCGCATGGCATTGTTGAAAACACCCTCGATGTCCACGAAGGCAGCGAGGGTTTATTCTTTTTAAAATATAGTGATCTTTCAAGTTTGTGCACTAAATAATATCTTCTCCCATTTGTGCGGTTTATAATTAAGGCGTAACGCTGCCTCATTCCAAAGATTTGGATCTTTTAGCTTCGTTAAATTTTTATCGGCACTGCCTTCGGAGGTTTGCAATTTCATTGGACCACCATGGAAGTTTTGGTGTTCTACTTTTCGCCCTAGTCGGGCAGGCTACCTTTGCTGCACGTTAAAATGCTTTAGTTGTTAGTTTAAATGTTTCGAGTTTATTTGGTTTGTGGGAACAGAAATGCTGTTAGGAAAGGCTGTTCCAAACTTTTTCCAATTCGTTTTTCTGCAATTTAAGACCGCTTGTTGTTTTCTTATTGGTACGTTTAGGTTATAAACCACGTAGATGTGATCTGAAAAGGAGTTGTCTTTAGAGACTCTCCAGTCATTGAAAAGTTCCGTCCCCTTCCATATTTTATCCTCCAGTTTTGGTAGAAGCGGTATGGACCTATTGTAAAAAGCTCAGCCCATCGTGGTTTTGTCCACACTCCCACTAAAGTGTATGCCTCTTCATACTCAATACTTAAGTGAGGCATCGTAAATTCATTCTTATGCTTCGTCTTCGTATTTCAGTGTTTCTTTTTCTCATTTCATAAAAATCTGTATTTGCTCCATTAAACTTGTCCAAAGGAAATGGACTAAGGCAGACTTAAATTATTCTTTTCACTTTACTCAACCAACCTTATCAGCACCTCTTCTCCTCTTCATCCAACAGTTTACGACGGCATCTATGGCATCGTTGATTATACCAACTACTTGATTCTCGGCATCACTGTCGCTTTGGCCTGGGAGTTACCGAGTAAACCGCAAAGTGAAGTCATCGAAGAAATCGCCAATCGGCTAAAAGATGGTAGACTTGAGGTCAGACGTAACGACACATCAACACGCATTACATATGTCGACACCAAAAAGAATCAAACGCAAACAACAACAAAGCAGCAGCAGACATATCAATCTGTGAACACCTTACGGCCCACTTACATCGATCTTATGACATTGACAAGTCCTGCTGCCGCTGCCGCAGCCGCCAAGAAGAGTGACCAGAAGTACTACTACGCGAATACAGGCCAACTGCCGGCTACCTTCCATGCGCCATTGCATCAGAAATATTATTATTATAAGGGAAGCAATAAATATGATAACAGTAAAAGCCATTACGGAAAGTATCACATGTTGCGGCGTCCTATAGACAGTTACTATCACCGTACACAAGTGACGCCGCGACCAACTGGTGGATACTACAAGCAAAGGCCGAACGATTGGCGACGTAAGGACACCAATTACTACTATGGGGCCACCATTAAATACAGACAGACAAACAACAGCAAAAGCAACAATAACAAGGGCTACAACTTGAGCACGCTGAAAGTGAATCCTTTCAGCAAGTCAGGCGCGACACACCAACGACGACTTCCATCTGCTTTGCAGAGTTACACACCGCAAGCGAAAGTTGGCCGCGACGGTGTTGGCAGTCAGTATCCTTGGTGGAATCTGGCTACGAGGTGAGTAAAAATTGTTGAAGTTGAGTGGTGTTTGCAGTAACGTGATACGAAGTGTGTAGAAATGCACGCTCAACTGTCACTTCATGCGGCACGCATGCCCACATGTTTTTTTTGTAGAGGCGGCACAAAGCATTGAAAGCCGAAAAGTGTGGGACTTGCCTTTGGGCTCAATGCACTAAAAACCCACCCCTGCTCCGTTTCCCTCCCACCATGGAACTACCGTAAGGTATTAGTTCGCTAGGGGGAGCGGCCAAATTACAAACAATGGACTACTTTTCTTCCGACTCAAGCATAGCATCCACAAGATTGTTAACCGCAAGTGGCCACCCCACCTTCATGCTCTAGTCATCTCTTCGATTACAAAACTGCGGACAGACAATCAAACCGTGTTAAATGTCTTCAGTACTACCTTTGTGATCGTCATTATTCCCAAATGCGTTCACATTAATACGATTTGAAGCAACCATACCTCGTAAATTTCAGGTCATAAACTTCCCAGTGTTGACTACTTACCCACCTTGATGTCTAAGGTATCCGGAGGTACGCGACTATCGTAGCTCTTACGTTGATCTGCTCCATTTTTCCCAAATTTCGTTGTACGAATGGTTATGTTAGACTTACGGCACACCGCTTTGGCGGTTGGAACGGCCTAGGTTATAATCGGAGTCTATGCTTCGGTTGCATGAATTTCAAAGCCCCACTGTCTCGGCGGTTGGAACGGTCAAGATTCCAATCCGCTCCTACGCTTGGCTTCCCGAGGCTCAAAATCGCACTACTTTGGCGATTGGAACGGCCGAGGTTCCAATCCGCTTTTACGCTCGAGTACACGGGGGTCGAAGCCGCACTATTTCGGCGGTTGAAACGGCCGAGGTTCTAATCGCGTCTACGCCTCGGTTTCACGACTTTCAAAGCCTCACTGTCGCGGCGGTTGAAACGGCCGAGGTTCCAATCCGCCCCTACTCATCACGTGCACGAGGTTCAAAGACGCCCTGGCTTGGCGGTAGGGACGGCGGAGGTTCCAATCCGCTCTCACTCCGAGAAGGAGCAGCCTTTTTATGAATATCTGTGGGACTGTTACGCTTGGCGCAATTTCCTGAAAATGAGCGTGCCATACAGCAAATGTCGGACCAATTTCCGATTGACTCTAGCATGATATCCACAAGGTTGTCAACCAGAAGTGGCCTCCCCACCTTCCTGCTCAAGTAATCCCTTTCGATTGCAAATCTCAGGCAAACGAAAAAAAACAATGTTCTGCGTCCTCGATTACCTATCCAGTACAGACCGTGCAATAGGGATCATCCTCGTATGCAAGTCTGTGTAGGCTTTAAAACAACCGAGTAACGTTAGTATTTGAGTTAGGTAGAATTCCACTTCTCCATGTCGCCTGTCAAGCCATTTTCTTAAACTCGGAATGAGTTTATATGTCCAACGTCAACTAGTCGAACGGGTCTAACGATGCTGCCACTGCTGCAAGCAGTTTTGCTTCGCATGCCCACATGTTACCGCTTACATATGTATGGGCATGTTGCATGCGTACTATAGCGGATAATTTAAATATGCGCTGCTTATGCGAAGTGTATCATTTTTTTAGTACTTCATACATTTTACTACAAACTACTATTTTTTCATGCGCTCCCTTTGCTTTGCTTTCTGCTTTCCTTTTACAGACTATCGAATTCATTGCGTAGAAAACCAATTCCCTCAAGACGTATTGACGGTAGCAGTAGTCAGGCAGCACAACGCAAACAACACCAACAGCCCGCTAGACAACTAAAGCAGCAACAGCAACAATCCGCATCCGGATTTTATCGACAGCCACCTGCCACAGCGCGGAAGCATCGAATTTATCCGGTTTTCGGTAAACGTAGCATAGCAGATGAGCCTCCAACGGCAGTGGCAACAGCTGCAGAAATTCACAGCAACAACAAAAACAACGCACAGCAGCAGCAGCA